TTCAAACCCATCCAGTGGTGCTGCAGAAGAAAAGCCTGGCAAGCTTCTTCCATAAATATTGTTGTTGTTAAGTGCCTTCAAGTCAGTTCTGACTAGTAGCAACCCCATATGGAGGTTTCTGAGGCTATAAATCTTTGTGGGAACAGAAAACCTCATCTTTCTCCTGCTGAGCGGCTGGTGGGCTCAAACCACCAACCTTGTGATTTACAGACCAGTGCTTATCGTAGATTGCCTGGTAGTAGCTATGTGTCATTGAGTTGGTTCCAACTCATAGCGACTCTGTATAGGGTTTCCAAGGTTGCAAATCTTTATGGGAGCAGAAATCCTCATCTTTCTCCCATGGTAGACTTGAACTGCTGACCTTGCGGTTAGCAGCTCAGCTCAAAACCCAACTGCCAAGAAAACTCTAGCGGGCAGTTCTACTCTGTACCACATGGGGTCTCTACCATGAGTTGAAATCCATTTGGTGGCAATGGACTTGGGTTTGAAGAGTATCAAGTTTTCGTTTGGGGGAAGATGAGAAGGGGCAGTTGTGTGCAGAGAAGAGAGCTTGACTTCCTGGGATAAGGAAGGAACTGGGTCATGAAGATGGTTGCTGGAGCAGGAAAATCCAATAGAATAACCAGGCAGTAGGATAAGGAGTGGAGCCCTGGTGTGACGCTGTGGGTTAATGCGCTAGACTACAAGGTTGGTTTGAACCACAAGGTTGGTGGCTCCAGCTCATCAGCCGCTCCTTGGAAACCCTATGCCAGGTCTCTACTATTCAGAACCAACTGGATGGCACGTAACAATGACAAGGATACGGAGAGATCATTAGGAAGTCAGGAACTGGTCCCTGGTCAGGTATGGAAGACTAGGAAAAGAGATTGCTTAAGACTAAGATTTTAATCCAGGGGCCTAGGGAATAGGGATGCTGTTTACACAAAGAGGGGAGTGGAGAACACCATGTTTGAGGCCAGAAAATGAAGACTCCTAGTTTGAAGAAAGGCTTGCAGGTGAAATGCCCAGAAGACTGCTGGAAAAGTGGGTCAGAGGTGTGACTAGAGGAAAAGACTCTACCCTTCTTCATGTGGCAGTGCCAGGTTAAGTTTGGGTCGAAGATGGGCAAACCAGCATGACTGTGTAAAGGGAAAAGGATGAAGCCATGAAGTCGCTTCCAGAGGTTCTAATGGAAAATCTCCATAGTGTGGGACCCTGCCCACCCATTAGGTAAACCTGGGAACCTTGGGTGGTACAAGTGATTAATGTTCTTAGCTGAGGGTTCCAGTCTACCCACAGGTACCTTAGAAGGAATACCTGGAGATATGCTTCTGAAAATCAGCCCCTGAAAACCCTCTGGTGCACAGTTTTGCTCTGACACACATTACTTATGTTCAAGGGGAATATTTGAAGAATCTCCTTCCTTTCTACCACCCCCTGCCATTCTCCTCTCCCTTCTTTCCCTACCCCGTTCCACCTTCTAGCTTGATTTTGGACTGGTCTGTTTCATGGCTGGCCATCCCTGATCTTAATGAGGACCCAGGAATCCACCACTGTCACCTAGAATAGACCCCCAAACTTTGTGCATGTTTTTGACTCCATGCTTCAATGTTCCAAGCACAAAATATATTTAATTGTATTACAACATCTTTAACACTTTTACAGCTTTTATTTTTTGTGCCGTCTCCAGAGCCATTCCTAAATCTTTCAGTTAACTGCAGAGGGTCCCAGGCCAGAGATGGGCCACACCTGCCATTTTGATTGTTGTTCTTAAATGTTGTTGGTTAAATTGGTTCCGACTCACAGCAACCTTGTATAGCCATTGTGATTAGAGTCATTTAATACTCAAGGCTGTGACTAATGTCTGACAACACAAGGCTGCACTGGGCGTCACATGTCCTGGGACCTTGGATTCGGGCACACTGTTGTTGCTAAGTGCCGTCCGACTCATAGCAAGCCTGCATAGGGTTTCCAAGCAGTGACTGGTGAGTTTGAACAGCTTAGACCTTGTGGTCCAGTGCTTATGCTACAGCGCCACATAAGGACTCGGTACCATGGTTAAGGGAGACGCTGACTGCCAGGTTGGATCCATGTGGACACGGTGGGGAAACAGAAACCATGCCCATATTGAATGGTTGTACAACGTGCAAGTCTAAAATCAGTTTTGAACAAAGCTACCCACCTTTGTCTTCCTACCCTGCACTTTTAATAATATTATTTTTTCACATGTTTACAGAAAGCAGTTAACTGAGCCCTTTGTGGGAAGGCTTATAGATTTGGTTAAAGAGGTGGCTGAGTATTGCATTTCAGCTGGAAACACATCCCTAGAATGTCAAACCACTTCTTCCAACATCTGGCTTCCTGGTGGGACCAGAGGCAAGGCAACTGTGTTTGGGTTCAGAGCCCTGGGGGCCGGCACCAACAAGGCATTCCACCCAAGTGCATCCCAGAGGCTTTTATTGTTAAATGATGTTCTTTAGGAACACCCACCCACGTCACATTTTGTGAACTTGATCTTCATACACTTTTGACTGGCATTCCATTTGAACCGTAAGCCTGTGATTTACAGCCCTGTTTATCCTCCGGCTTTGGATGGCAGTGGAACTAGGGACCACTTTCCAGACTCTCAGGGTAAGGAGCAGAGAGGGCAGGAGCTGCGCTTCTCCCTGGGAACATTTCCTCTGGCTTTGCCACACTGCTCACCAAGAGCACACGACAACCTTCCCCTCACTGCCCACTGCCATTCATCGAGCTGCAGCCCAGCTGCGCGTCTGCCGGGAGGGGCTGCCAAGTGCCCTGCCTACTGGCTGCTTCCCGAATCCCTGCCATTCCATGCACAAACACATCCCCACACGCTCTGCCTCGCTCACACACAGAATCACTAGCACACAGAGGCGAACACACTCCTGCCTTCAGTCTCCGAGTCTTGACCTTTGACTTCTTCAAGCCCATGGAAGAGTTCTGGAAAAGCGCTGTAGATCCAGCAGGGTAGGATTGTTTTGATTTCTTTCTCTGTAGCTCTTTGCATTTTGAGAAAACAACTTACCTTGCTGGCCAGTGTCTGTATCCTTAGCAGGGAGAAGAGGCTTTTGCTGCTTGCCTTGAAGGCATGTGTATGGCTCATCTGGGTCTTTCAGGACTTGGAGGATTTTCCGTGCAATGTATATGTCATTGGGCAGGTTCAGATTTTTAAGAGCTTTATGAAGTGCTTTTGCCTTGTTTAATAAAAAAGGCATATGAAAATTGAAAATATGATTTACAGAAATTAAAGCATTTGTTTTTTTTTAAAAAAAAAAGCAAAGGTGGCTAGCCAGAAAGAGAATCTGTGATTTACTTATTGTGTTTTTAACCCTTTCTTTTACTTACAATCTGTTGTTATTGGTGCTAAGTTTTATTCTGGCTTCCTTAGAAATCAGCTACATTTGCATAGAGTTCTGAGATGAACTGCCTATTTTTGTCAGAATTAGATAAAATGTGTTCATATTGGTATCAAAATGCCACAATATCAAAACTGTTGTTGTTTACAGTAACCCAGATATTTATACATTCCATGAGTATTTTGTCAGATACTCTGTTGAGTATCATACAGCTAAGTCTTAATGGTTATTTCAGAGTCTGCTAGACAGAGTCAAAAGAAGTTTATTTAGAAATATAAACTATCCAAAATCACCACGGGTGCATGGAGCATTTACCTTCCCTATTGTTTCATTGATGGGTGTATATTTTGTCTGTATACATTTTGATGTGTGTGATTTCACTTCAGTTCCAAAACTTTTTTTTTCTTTCTATTTTTCTTTTCACCTGGATATTTAATTCTGAATATCCTAGTCCTGGTGAGGCATCCTAGACCATAAGGTTAGTTTAAACTACAAGGTTGGCGGTTCAAACTCACCAGCTGCTCCTCAGAAACCCTATAATGCTGGAACTGACGGAAGTCACTTAACAACAACAACTGCAATCTTAGCCCAAGTGAATTGAGAAGGTCCTATTGCAGGACTAAACAGTGGAAATGACATTGCATTTAAGAATGTGTGGGTCCAGCAGTGTAACGTACTTACCAAAGGGCTAGTGAATGCCCGGAGGTTATACTTTTTATGACAAAAAAGGACAAGATTCTGATGCAGTTTTCTGAAGTTTTGGTTGTATAATCCATGGAAGGCATGGACACCCATGTGCGCCTAACCAATGGTTCTTATGAATCATCGTTCACATGAGAATTCCTAATGGGACCAAGTACAGCGCCCAGGGCCAACACAAACATGCAAGGCGGGCTGGAAGGGAGCATTGTGCAGGCATTGTACAGAGGAGGAAACTGAGGCCCCGTAGCATTCTTTTATTTGCAAAAGGCATTTTTTTCTATAAGTACACCTTGAATCTCCACCCCAACCCCCAACCCCCCAAGACTGCCATCAGTCTCGGGAACTGCTAAATATAGCTGTATGTGCTGGCTGCAAATGCAACCACGCTCCTCATCCTATCTGCCATATCTCAGTTACAGAGCAGTCCTCTCCAGGGTCATTCTATGTACACACGACAGATTGCTAACCACAGAGAAAAGCGATTCAAGCTCAGAGACAAACAGGGATAGATGAAAGTCTAGCAAAGGGGCACATTAAACAGACCATTCGAAAAGAGTGGCCCCTAGATTAGTCTTCGGAGTTCCTTTTAAGCCTGGTCTGCCCTACTCCACCTTTAGCAAATCCCTTCTCTTTCCTGCCCCGCCACCCCTAGTGAGATCTAGCCCTCCTCCTTAAGGGACAACAAGAAAAGTTGGGGAAGCACTCCCTGGGATCGCTCCCAAAAGATTGGTGCCTGGAGTGATGTTTAAGCCAACGTCAGGGCAAGGCAACCAGCCCCTGGCCAGCTTCCAGGACCTTTGTAATGCATATGAGCTCGGGAGACCAGTACTTAAAGTTGGAGACTCGAGAGCCGGCGACTTGGCTGAGCGCGCTCATACCCGGGCTGCACTTGCTCGCCGTCGGCCCCGGGTTCCTCTGGCTGGGCCAGCGCTCCCGGCGCCGCCTCTAACCGCGCACTCTGCTCTTTTTCCAGGTGGCCCGTCGGCTGCTGAGCCCTTTGGCGCGCGGAGAGCAAGATATGCGCCTCGCCCGCGGCCACTGACCATGACCCTCCACACCAAAGCGTCCGGCATGTCTCTGCTGCACCAGATTCAAGGGAACGAGCTGGAGCCCTTGAATCGCCCGCAGCTCAAGATCCCCTTGGAGCGGCCCCTGGGTGAAATGTACGTGGACAGCAGCAAGCCCACCGTGTACAACTACTCCGAGGGCGCCGCGTACGATTTCAACGCCGCGGCCGCAGCCTCGGCTCCGGGTTACGGCCAGGCGGGCCTCGCTTTCGGCCCGGGGGCCGAGGCAGAGGCATTCGGTGCCAGTGGCCTGGGTGGCTTCCCGCCGCTGGCCAGCGTGTCTCCGAACCCGCTGATGCTGCTGCACCAGCCGCCACAGCTCTCGCCCTTCCTGCACCCGCACGGCCAGCAGGTGCCCTACTACCTCGAGAACGAGCAGGGCGCCTACGCGGTGCACGAGCCCGGGCCGCCCCCCTACTACAGGTACCCGCCGTCGGGGGTCCGGGGGCGCGGGGTGTCACGGGAGGGCCACCTGGAGACCCCGGGCGCCCTGCGCGGGAGTCAAGGGCACGCCGGGAGCGGGGCTCTAGTGGAGCCCTCGTCCCAAAGTCGAGTTTTCGCCCTGGGAAGCTTCAAAAAAAGAGCTGGTTCGGTCTGCGTAAGAGCAGGCAGACCTCAAACCCCGCGGGCCTCCTCACCAAACCAACGCTGGAAGAGGCAACAATGCAACCCTTATTTTGGGGTGGGGTGGGGGCGGGGGTACACTCTGATGCCAATGAACACCAGGAGCTTTGAGTCCTCAGTCTGTGAACCCGCTTGGGTATTTAGGATTGGAGGGTGTTTGGGGTTGTTATAATTATTTTAGATTTTTCTTTTAAAAATCTTTCCTCTTGGATTGGAAATCTGCACGCTTTTTTTTTTTTTTTTAATTTGAAAGATGATTCTTGTCACTTGCATGCCCTCTCCCCATCTCACGCTGGAGAGCGTTGGGATGAAAAACGGACAACTCAGGAACCAGAGATGGTTTGAAAGAGCTTCAGTAAGTTTCTGAATTCTGAGTTATCTGTCTGAGTCCTTGTTGGAGAAGATGTTGGCATGTGACTTCCAACAGTCGGAAATGTCTAGGTGTCTTGTGAGTTTAAATCAGTCCACATCGAAGTACAACTCCTTTTAAAGGATCCCCGCCAGTTGAGTTGCACATCTGGCCTACCAGGCAGAAAACACCTCAATGCTCCCGGCTGCGTCTTTGGTCTTTGAGTCACTTGGCAGCTGAAGACTGACTAGGACACTTTGGTAACTTCAGTAGAGAATGCTTTGTGTTTTCATTTAAATATATATAGATAATTCCATCTTCCTGAGCTTCCATTTCTTGTGCCCTTTAACAGTTTCTCCCTCTGCTCCAGGCTGGGCCTGAAGCTGGACAGGGATTTAGGATTTTCAGGGCTCCCACGTGACTGGGGCTGAGTTGAGCGCTTCCCTTCTGCGCACTTTGGCTTCTGGCCTTGCCTCTTTACCCTTGCCCGATCCTCTGCCCTGCAAGCCCAGGACCACTTTCTGTTTAGTTTTCTATTTTCAGAAGTATCTGGAGCAGGAGGCAGGGCTAAGGTGCAAGGTGGCCCCAGAGAGTGAACATACAGCCTCAACCCCTCAAGGGTTTACAGGTACTTCCTAGAACCAACCAGGTCCAACCTCAGGTGCTTTTTAAAAGACGAACAATGGACAAAACTTTTAAAAGTTGAAATACTTCAAATACATTTCACTTGTATTAATTTAGGATTAATATAGGAAAAAAAAACTGATTTCTTCTGCCCACTTTTTTTTTTTTTTTAATATGCTAGAACAATATACAGCGATTAAGTCTAATTCATACACAGCGTTTACAATTCCTTGATATGAGAGAAGGCCCTGGGTGGATGTGAATTTCATAACCTTATGGTGGACTCCAGAAAAAAATTTCTTTTCCTTTTAATTTTCAGTTCTTTTATTGCAAATTAATCCCACTGAATTTCAATGGGCACTAATGAGACTGCTTCTTAGTGGATTATTTACTGCCTTGCTAATAATTACAAAGTGAGCATGGTCAAATAAAAAGAGGACCACATTTTATTCAGGGTGTTCATCAGCCCAGGGGCACATAATAGCACTGGAATATACCCCATCTTAAACTTTTTCCATTAAATGATATCCAAACACTTTTAGAATTAAAAAAAAAAAATCAGAGACTTCATATAAAGTTAAAAATAAAATCATTCCACTTGGCCTCTGTGTAGAAATTTCGGTATTAGAATGATTTTTCACTCTACAGTTTACTTTTTATAACATTGTTTCTCTTTGGTTTGAATTTTGCCTCTTATTACCTAGAGAAGAAGAGAAGGGGCTATTTGAGAGACAAAGGTTTTTTGGTATTCTTTTCCCTCTCAGTTTTCCTGTCGGAATAGGTAAAAATAAAAGAATTGATTAGACTCTTAGGAGTCTTTAATTTTACTAAGTTGCTTTCTAACATTTTGGAGGACCAAATCAGCAGTAATTTTCAAACTGCTTGTCATGACTCACCGCATCATCAAATCAGTAGATTGAACCTAGAACAGATTTTTTAAGGAGTAAAATAGAAAGCAATGTAACAGAAAACTACAGAGTGCATGCTGCTTAGTAAAAGTGTAAGTTTTGTTTCATGAAAAATTTGTTAGAATTATACATGCTCCTGTCTTATAATCTTTATATGAAATAGAATTCTTACTGTGGGTTGAGAGCAAAGAAGTTTGAAACCTACTCACCTAGCATGTTAGATTTTAGTAGAAAATGAAAAATTCCGGCTACTGGTTTATCTACACAAGTCAAAAAACTTTTATGATTGTCTTTGTTTTCCTTCCCCCCCCCCAGTAAATCAGATTGGTGTTTTCAGGTTAGTGACCTGAAACTTTACTATTTTGATCCATAATGTCTTAATTTGTAAAGTGGAGCTGTAGTGTGAATTATCCATCTGAATATCCCATTGGGATGTTCAGAAAATTGAGGTGAAGTCCACATTATTGAGCAATAGAGGCTGGCTACCTTCATACCCTTGGCCTATGCAGTCATACCTGTGTAATTAGAAATAGAAGAAAATATAGTAACTATGTAATAGATAAAAATGAGAAAGATTATCACTTGTCTCAACAAATTGTAATGAAGGGAATAAATTGGTTCTAGGGAAGCCGTGATTTTGCAAGTTGGGCCTTCCCTAAAATTCCATTAGCTTTTAATAATGTAGGTGAATGGGAGGCATTTTATGTTGGATTCCTTTGAAGAGTACAGACCATTTAAGACTTTTGAATCAAACTGAAGAAGAAACTTAAAATTCATGTTAGGTATTTATAATGCGGCATGATTATGTTCATGTCTTTAGTCAGTGTGCTTAAGTATTAAATATCACCCACTTCTCTAAAATGTTTGGTATAGCAACCTTTTACATAAAATTCAGGGCTCTGGTAATGTCCATAGTCACTGTATGTATATTTTGAATGGCTGGCTTGCCAATTTGTGATCATTTAAAACTAGTTCTCAACTTTGAACTGAGACTGATATTCAGGATAGATTTGAGTGGCTAATTTTTTGATTGCCAATCATTCTTTCCTTATATTGAGGTGATATTTTAACACTTTTCTGCCCATTCTTTCCTTCACTGAAGTGCTAACTACCCCACTAGTGCTTCTATGGTATATAAAAAGTCTAAGAAATCATATCCTGCCCCAGGAATGAGTATATTTGAGGATTAAAATGGAATCATATCTTCAATCCCCATTTCAATTTCACCTACTCCACATGGTTTGTAACTCTTGGGTAGAAAGACCCTGAAAAATTATTGCCACGTTCTCTAATCTTCTTTCTCACATTCATTTCATTTTGGTTCTTGGCTATAGTTGTTTGCTGTCTACTTTTGGAAGTAGACGAGTAGGCTTCAGAAAGTTAGTGGAAAAATTCCACTATTTTTTAAAATTCCATGTCTCCACGAACGTTTTGAATCTCTCTCGTAGTATTTAGGCTATGATACAACTTATAAAAATTCCAATTCAGGAATTTCATATGGTTTTAAGGATATAAAAGACAGGGGCAAGAAATTGTCCATGACAGGAACGAAAATATCAGGTAAAAATGATAAAAGATGTCAAATTTCCACAAACAATGGACATTTATCATTTTGCCAAGTAAGATTATAGGATGTGTGAAAGTGATATGTAAGCTATACACAAAGTAGACATTATTATTATTTTATCTACTTTATTGATATTTGGTCTAGTGTTTTTGGAAGCTAAAAAACAAAACAAAACTGATACAGAACAGATTTAAATGATCAAGCGTGTCATCCAAAAATACAGAGCGATGAGAAAGGGAACATTTTTCTTTCCTGTGGAAACCAATTTGAAATAAAATCTTTATCAGGGTCTTCATTATCTATATGTAGCCTTGGTTATCATAAACATTTATCCTTTTAGATAATTTATGTAAAATCATTTTCAGATAATCAGTGTTTAAACTCTTAAGTTTTTAAAACCAGAGTTTTGTGTTTTTAAAACCCTGATTATATAAAATGATTTTACATAAAGACATGTATGAATTTTATTTATGCCTTTTTTTTTCCTTTCTAAAATCCATGCTCAGCCTAAAGATAATGTATCATCTGTCTCCTCCCTCTGACCTCAGAATTGCTTTCAGGAGAACCCAGTGGGGAAAGTAATGTGTAAATGTGTTCCCTTCTTTCAAGGAGACCTGGAAGGGATTGGGGCGATTAGCCATGAGTTTAATTTTAAGTCTTGGTGTGCTGATCTGAAAAATGAAAACAAGGAGTGGTTAAAAGTGTTTAGAACCACAACACCTATACCACAGAAAGATGCTGTATAAATCCAAAAACATAGCTGCCTGAATGAAAACCAACCAAAACGAAGTACAGTGAATTTCATAGAAAGGAGGCGGTCCACCAGAGTCCTCGAGTAGTTCTATTTTATATTTTAAACACAACCAGTGAATTGATGGATAATGTCATTTTAAAAAAACAACAACAACGAAGTATGTCTGGGTTGCCGCTACTCTGTCCTGCATCCATGCCTCATGCTGTTTTGAAATCTGAGGTTGAAACGAGCTGAGGTAAAGGAGAGCACGTTTATGACATCTCTGATCTCATAAGATACGAAACCATAATTTCTACTTCCTGTGCCTTGGAGACTATTATTAAGAGTTATAAGGGAAGTACTGTAAGAATCAACAATTGAAAAAAATATGTATAAATGTTTAGATCCTCTTAAAAATAGGAATGTTGAAAAGACAGCTTTTTTGGTCCTGACAAAATTTTTAGGAGTCTGATAAAGTGATACTTTCAAGAACCCTGATCAAATAAAGAAGGTGTGACTGCCATTCATAAATGACATGAAGATATGGTGTTGGTAATCTATGCCAATAATCATGGTGCTGGTGAGGATGATACAGTGTTGATTTTGGTGAGTCATGGT